AAGTATAAACATTCAGAAGAGTCACTGATTTAGGACAATGCAGTTAAGGATATATGAAGTTTTTTTATCTTTACAGATTTGAAAGTATATCATTTTAATTAACCATTGGGAAAGAAATTAAAAGAAGTTTATGCTTTCTACCTACTCTCATTATTAATGAATATTCATTATGTGTGGATATTATTTTAGATTGTTCAGAGATTGGATAAAGATTTTCCATAAATATTTAGAAGGGAATGAAATCTTTGAATGAAGATTGATGTAATATACTTATGAATTAAAAATCTTCTGGGACATAGTATGAAGTAAACATATTGTGTGTTTGGTTTAGAAACAAAAGGCCATACACCATGTTTGGTGGACAAATATGAACCTGATAAATTCGTAATGAGTTGGTTCATTATATATATTTTGACTATTTTGTTTGTCCTTTTTGGCCTCAATAAAAGTCCATTAGTTCATGATGTGATACCAAACTCATTTGCCTAACTATGATCTCATCAATATTCTTTGTTTCATCATACTAGCTATTATATTTTTGGGAAAAAGGATAAATATACCCCTGAACTATCGTAAATAGTATGCTTCTACCCTCCATCATATTTTTGGGACATTTGTGCCCCTACCGTTCAAAAACTAGGGAATATATACCCTTTATACTAACGGACATACACATGTCATAATCTTATCCATCGATCCGACATTTATTAAATATTGAATCGACGGATAAGATTGCGCCACGTGTCCCTATTTAGTCTTCGATCCGTTAGAGTGAAGGGCATACATGCTCTAGTTTTTGGACGGCAAGGGCACCAATGTCCCAAAAGTATGACGGAGGGTATCTGCATACCATTTACGATAGTTCGAGGGTATATTTGTCCTTTTTCTCTATATTCTTTTTCAAAATAAATAATATTCAACAACAACAACAACAATAATATATTCTGTTAAACCCACACGTGAAGTTTGCAAATGATAGAATATATACAAATCTTACCTCTATCTCGTGAAGACAAAGAAGTTATTTTTGAAACTCTTTCAGCTCATGTGCAACGAATCCAAATAGTCGTTAAAAGAAATATACGAAAGAAAAGTTCAATCTAAATACTTTCATCACAAATATTATAAATTACCAACTTTGTGTAATCGGGTGCCTAATCAAATATATTTATTCGTCCTTTAAGGTATACAACATATGCATACACGATTTTGCCGTTATATAATCACACAAGACTTGTACAACACGATGAAATAAAAATTACAATTTACCAATCGAAGGATTAATGTTTTTAAAGACACACACATATATATAGGGAATCAAATCATTATACTTTTCTCATTATGTAAAATTAATTGTGATAATTATCCAACTAGCTAGTCAAAGATCTTTCTCGGGTTTGAACTCATATTGTGTCAGATTCTATAATTACTAGCAATTTCTCCATAAAAATCTTGTAAACTACCAAGACAACAGTCAAACAAGACTCTAATTTGATAGTACTGTAAAATCCCATTACATTTCATATTATAGAGACACATATAGTATTTAATTTTTATGAATATTATTCAAACCTTTAAGACGCTTATTATTGAATCCGTTGTATTTTTAAAATTATAACTACAAACCCACTATAAATTTCTTGAATTTTAGTTGAGTTTAATATATAATTTAAGTTTTACAATTTTATATAAAAATACTGAATTCAAATAAACTCGATTTCACGTGTCCCACCATTACATTCACCTCTGTCGATGTATATGCGTTGAATAAAAAACTGGTGCGTGTCTGGTGGGGTGGGGGGTTAGTACCATAACAATCATACTAACCCACTAAAAACAACCCAGTTTCCTTAAAAGGCATGAGTTTTATTACTTTTTGTTCTATAATGACCACATAACAACTACTCTCTCTCTCAATTTATATATAATAATTGGAATTTCGAGAATTAAAGAGAAAAAAGATTGTACATTTCAAATTGTTAATATTTAGAAGGGAAATGAGTTTGATATACCTTCGTTATAAAAGTGACTCACATATACCCTATCATCATAAAATTGGCTCATATATACCCCTATACTATTTCAAAAGTGTCTCACATATACCCCACCATTATAAAAGTGATAAAATTAATTTTAAATTCATTTTTATTGTTAATATTTAAAAAAGAATCAATATTTGGTCTTTTTCATAAATAAATTATTTTTTGAGTTTCTTATTCTTATTTCATTTTTTCTATTATTCTTAAGTGTAAAATAAGAGAAACAAAAAGAAAGAAGAGTGAATGGAAAATAGGAGAAAAAATTTAAAACTATTTTTTGTGGCTATAACATCTATAATAAATTTAATAAGAAAATAAGTGAAAAGAATAAATTTGACTTATCAAGGTAATAAATTCAAATTAGCCGTTGAATTAAAAAAAGTAAAAAAATAAAACCTCGTGAGAAGGAAAAAATGGAGAATTTTTCGCAAATAGCTACTATAATAAACCTAATTATGCTCTATAACTATAGTTTGCATATTTACGAGCTATATCTACAGTTTAAGCTATCTCGTTTGTATAATTCACGAGTTTGTATAATTCGTGGGTGAGTTTGTATAATTCACAAGTACGTTTATGTAATTAAGTTGTTTTTGTATAAACTCGAAATAACAAATTTATACAAACACAAACATCTGAACTTTAAACAGTTATATATGCGCCACTTTCAAAACGGAGGTATATCAACTCTAAAAATGATAAAGTTGAGGAGTATATCAAACTCTTTTCCTTTTTTTATAACGACATAATATATAAATATATCATTTAAGTTGATCTCATCTAACATTTATGTTCTCTGATTTTAAATGTACACTAATAAGCAAATAATCTGGTATAACATCAAACAAATATACACATGCGCGTCGTACTCATACATATATAATAGTGTAATTTTATAATAATAATCATATTATTACTATAAAAGACCCACACTGATTCATTCTTCAGATTACTACAATTCCACACTGCATTAAATTCTTTTACCTCTTTTCAGTTTTCTCATCATCTTATAAATATATTCCAATCCCCTGTTTACCTTCAAAGCAACAAAACAGAGAAAAAGATAAACTAAAAAACATGGAGGAAAAGCTCTGTGCAGCTGGTTCTTTCACTAAAATGGCAAAATCTCTGAACAAAATGGAGATGAAAGTAAATGAAGCAATTTCAAAGAGCAGAATCGGCAAATACTTCAAATTGGAATCTCGAAAAAGCTCTTTCACTAAAGAGTTTCGTGCTGGTACCGCTACGTTTCTTACGATGGCTTATATAATTACCGTCAACGCCAGCGTTTTATCGGATTCCGGTGGAACTTGCTCCGTCTCGGACTGCACTTTTCCGGCCAACCAAACGCATGCAACTCCAGATTGCGTGCTCAATAACGAAGGTTACGAAAAGTGTGTTGCGAAAATGAAAAGTGATCTTATTGTGGCTACTGCTTTAGCTTCTATGATTGGGTCATTTGCTATGGGCTTATTGGCGAATCTTCCTTTGGGCTTAGCTCCAGGTATGGGCCCAAATGCTTATTTAGCTTATAATTTAGTGGGCTTTCATGGGTCTGGAAAAATGTCATATCAGACTGTTATGGCAATTTTCTTAGTTGAAGGCTGTGCGTTTTTAGCAATAGCTGTATTTGGGCTTCGTGGGAGGATAGCCCGGTTTATTCCTCAGCCCGTTAGGTTAGCTTGTGCGGCTGGGATTGGGCTTTTTATTGCATTTGTGGGCTTACAAGCCCATCAAGGTGTGGGCTTAGTTGGCCCAGATTCATCTACCTTGATCACTCTAACTGCTTGCACCAGTACAAATCCGGTGACCGGAGAATGCACCGGCGGGAAGATGCAGAGTGCAACTTTCTGGTTAGGTTCAGTTGGGTTTATAATAATGTGTTATGGATTAATGAAGGAGATTAAAGGGAGTATGATATACGGTATTCTCTTTGTGACGTTAATTTCATGGATTAGGAATACTGCTGTTACGGTTTTTCCTAATACTCCATCTGGTAATTCAAGCTATGAGTATTTCAAAAAAGTGGTGGATTTTCATAAAATTGAGTCTACAGCTGGAGCTCTAGATTTTACGCATTTCAACAATGGTGAAGTGTGGATAGCTTTAATAACATTGTTATACATAGATGTGTTAGCTTCAACAGGTACATTGTATACAATGGCTGAAATTGGGGGATTTGTGAATGAAGACGGAGAATTTGAAGGTGAATATACCGCGTATATGGTTGATGCAGGATCAACTATAGTTGCATCAACTCTAGGAGTTTCACCTGTAGCTACATTTGTAGAATCATCAGCTGGGATCAGAGAAGGTGGAAGGACAGGAATAACGGCGATCGTCGTTGGGTTTTATTTCCTCTTGTCTTTGTTCTTCACACCTTTGATTGCTAGTGTGCCACCATGGGCTATAGGTCCATCTTTGGTTATAGTTGGGGTGTTGATGATGAAAGTTGTTAAGGATATTGATTGGAATAATATTAAGCATGCAGTGCCTGCATTTGTGACTATGGTGTTAATGCCTTTGACATACTCAATTGCCAATGGTATTATTGGTGGAATTGGTGTGTATATTGCTCTAAGTTTGTATGACAACATGCTGAGTTGGGTAAAGTGGTTGATGAGGATGAAAAAAATGGTGGTGAAAGAGCAAAATCAGGTTTCAGCTACTGCAGATCAGAGTATTGAAGTAGTTTGATATTTTCATCGTTCATCGATGCTAGTTCGATGGGGTTGGACGTAGTTTTTTTTTAAAAAATTTCATGTAGCGACAGTAGATGCACAAGCCACCGTGATAGGGAAGGTGTTATAGAAGGACCTTTCAAGGGCGCTTGTGCATTTTTGAACTGTGGTATTTCGATATAAATATAATGTTGCTTTTTCTTATCATTTATGTTATTTCACTTTATAGGATAGAGTCTCCATGCATATGAGTTATAGAAGAAAAAAAAAACATAAATCCTAACGAGCAATTCATGGTTCTTTGCAATTGGATCTCAGAAAACAAAGTTAAACAAACATGTAACTAGACTCAAAGGAATTAGTCTCAAAATACTGAGTACAACTTCAAAATGACAGTACAAAATATATGACCCAACAAAGCAACGCTTAAATGTTGTTCAAAACTATTAATGAGAAACTGACATAGGTTCCTTTTCATTTCCCTTATAACGACGTTAAGGTAATTGACTCCAAGTAGTTCATTTGGAATCTTACTTCAGCACTTTCAGATTTTGCGTATATCAAATATACGGTTCTGCTGATCTGCAAGTTGAAAAAGACAATCATCTTTGGCATTCATGCCATAAGCTGCAGCAACGTCCTTCCATCCACGAGTCAAAACATCAACACTAGGTCTGCTAGAATAATAGGGAGGCAAGCGACTAGTATAATAGGTAGGCCAGATTCTTTTATCTGGTCCTCGGAGAAAAATAATCCACCTTTCTCGCATTGGCCTTTTCAACAAATCTCGCCAGGATTCTGGTAATTCCTGCACATGCACAAAGGAGATCTAGATTCAATGAGAGAAAAAAGGGATACACAAACTGGAAAACAAAGAGAAACTCAGCCAAGTAGAAGCAATCAGTTGCAACGTAGAGCAGACTAGATTCGCCAAAGCCTAAGCAATATGCATGAAATCACACTAGAAAAGAACGACCAGGGTGGTCAGGTGATTCCAAAAATGGAACTCAATAACAACAATGTAATGTAACTGCTGCTTCACATGATGCTCAGATGATTAAAGGACTAGAACTCTAAAACAAAATGTAAATGTAGGTCTTACTTCACAAAAGAATTAGTGCTTTATATGACATCTTCCTCTTTAGATGAAAAACCAATGGAACAATCTCATATTTGCATAGAGAAACTTAACATAATGTCTACACACACAAGGACTTACTAACCAATTGATTCATCTATTTCGAGAAAATACATCCGCAACAAGAAAACATACTCATTAACTTAAGATTTAAAGAAACAGTGCCATCATTGGCATGTCCGGTCTCGCAGGCGCTAAACTCGAAAGATATTAACATTTGATCTAAGTTATTGTGTGTCCAATCTGATTTCGAGATGCTTATTTTAAACAAGTTAGAGCCTCAAAAAACGACAAGTTTTTACCAAAATCTGGTGTATGAGCTTGCAATCAGCATTTTTATTGTGCATGTATGTTTCTTTTCAGCATCCTAGTTACAAAGTAATCAGTACTTCACTTCAATCTCATGAATTTTCAGTAACATTTTATAGTGTTTAAGCCCAAAGATGTCCTGAGAAAGACATTATTCCCTCTGTAACATCTTATTAAACACAAAAGTTTGATGAAAAGAATGTTAAAATGCATGCATCTTCAGAGGTAAACTCAAGACTCATATAAACTCAAGCAGTGTACATGCCAGTATTGATAAATATTCACAGAAAACTGATAGCATTCATAGTGGCATTCCTCCATTAAGGGACTAAATGAAATTATAAAAGTGAAGGAGATGCAAGACAATGTTTGCTTGACTTCAATATAAAATCAAGAAGATGCTCATAGTGGAAGCAGAGCGCCAGAACCCAAGAATTGTGACTAAGAGTGGGCAAAGCACTACGCATATTTCATGGTCCAAGTCCAAGATCGAGAGGAGGAATATTGGGGCCAACAGGTAGCCTGAAAAGAGCTGAAAAGCAAGCCCAAGTGGGGGTGAATTACATGCCCAAAGGGGATAGAAATTCACACCCAAAGGAGCTGGAATTGACGTGTATTTTTTGATCCAAGAATTGCCACTTCTTTCCTTATTTTGTTAGGTAGTTTTGGAAGAAGTGTGACTTTAATTTACATATTTTTCTAGTTTAAAGTTTCCTAGTTAGATTTTACTAATTATTTCCATACAAATTGATTTTGAATACCATAATGTCTAGGAGAGGGGTGCATGATTTGCCCCTATATATAGGGGAAACCTTTTTGTTTTTTTTGACACACTAGTATTATCAAGATTCTTTTCTTTTCACTACTTGAGATTTATCTTATAACGTGCGGATGTGCTAGTAAAGAGGTGTGAGAGGTTGGTGAGAAGTGGTAACAAAGATCGATGATTAGGGTAGAAGGCTAGTAGGTAACCGAGTGTTGTCATATTTTATGTGGAAGAGGTAGGGGTTATTTAGTAGTCGTGTAGTCTCTTATTATTCAATTTGTAGTACTATTTTTGCCTCATTTGCTTTATATCTTTCTATTTTGTTATCATAATATTCTTGCAATCCTTTTCCTTCATAAGGTAGGGGTAACGTTGCATACACTACCCTCCCCAGACCCCACTTGTGGGATTACACTGCGTATGTTTTTGTTATTATTATTCTCACAATCCAGCTTCAATAACATTTCTTTTAAGTTGAGGCTCTATCGAAAACAACCTCTCTACCCTACAAAGGTAGGGGGTGAGGTCTGCATACATTCTACCCTCCCCCAAACCCCACTTGTGGGATTACACTGGGCAAGCTGTTGTTGTAATTATTCAGTTAGGGTTCTAGATCAGATTCATCTAAGTTCTTCATTTGAATCTGCGATTAAATTTGATTAGCCGTAATCCGCTAATTAGGTTTATTACAATCAATTAGGGTTCTTATATAATCACTTTTGAGATTTGGGGATTTATTTCTTGAATTTCGCCTATCTTATTTTTCTAGTCTTTAATCTTCATATTTTTTTATTCCACATTATTTTCTTATTTTTTCTTTCAAGTTTCCCGATTCTTTAAAGAACGCATGAAATAGTAAGAATATAGCAATCCACAAAAATGACTGAAGGAATGATATTTAAACAAGGTGTTACCAGAAAATCTCGACCATTGACGGACACCAAACATGAATAGTTGATTGCAGGAAAGGATGGTGTGTCTCCTAAACCAGCAGGCTTACTTTTGATGACTTTTTCATTACCATTTGCTTCCTCCTCTCCTGAATCTTGTACATAAGGAAAAAAACAGCAAGAAGATGCTCAAAGGCAGTTCAAAGCACAACACCAACATGCAAATGGCCAGATTAAATAAGTTTACAAGATAAGGATGCCTACTAGCCGATCAAGTGAAGCTCAAGCTAGTGAAGTTTGATCAGGCCTAAATTAAGACAAGCGATTTCATGTCAAAAACTCTTAATTCCTACTTTGCAATTTAAGCAACCTAGCAAGGAAAGGAGAGCATGATTGTTTAGAGGGGAGTAAGTTACATCTATCTTCCAAATGAATGACTAAAATTGTGATTCTCTTTTTATACCCAGCAGCAATTGCTTCCTCTTGGTACTGGTCTTAAACTTATCCCTACCGCATCGGAACCAGTATTGAATTGATTCTAAGCTCATGCAAAGCCTCGGTGACTATGATCAGGGGTGCTAATGAAGAAAACACCCCTTTCTTCTCCAAAAGAGAATAGCAACAAGAGAAAGTGAAACTTTTAGAAACCACCTTAGTATCAACACAATCGTACCTTAGCTTAAAGACTCCCACTTTTTACCTATATCATCTTCTCCTACAATCCAGGCCAAAAAGGGTGACACAAAGATGCACTTTGGATATGTGATTGGATTCTATATAGGGAAAAGGTTTTGCTTCTATTTTGGAAGCGCAACAAGATGGTCACAAAGGGCTGAAAGAAGGTGGATGTAGGCTGGTGAGGGGGAGAGGTGAAGCCGCAGATGGCAGGAGTAGGGGCCATTCAAAGGCCAATGTCCTATACGGAGGACATGATTAGTATTAGTACAATCAATCAAGTAGGAATCAAATTACAAGTTAGCTCATATATTGGGAACTCTTGAGTAGTAAAATAAAAAAAATTCAAATAGAATAATAAGTCTTGATATTTCCAAAATAAAAAAGAAATCCAGTACTCAGACGAATTTTAATGATAATTTGAAATTGGAGAAGATTTACAGATGGTTGTTAACAACATTCAAAAGACCTCTACAATTTTGAATTACCAAATTAAGAGAAGTTTCATAATTCTTGAGATTCAAATCTTGGGACATAATCATTAAGAATATTCTACACAATATTCTTATGATTCTTTTTGACTTTCAACACCACCAGCCAAACTCAAAGTGGGTTTGATTACAGCTTAGTTTGAAAACAAGATACACTCAAAAGCTATGTTTCTCAGATTCTCCTAACATGTTACCGTACCTGGGTCGGATCCTTAAAAAATGCAGTATTTTTGGAGGATCCAGCATGCAGAAGACAGTATTTTTGAAGAATCCGAGCAACATAGCTCAAAAGTCATTAGAATAGCGAACAAAGTCGGCAAAAGAAAAGGGTGGTTCAAGGAAAGTCTTTCCCCATGAAAATCATCCGTGATTGCACGGCAAAAAGCAAGTGCTTCTTACACCAAAAAGAGGTTCTGGGATGAAAATCTATGGAACATCATCGACTTGTTAGGGTAACCAAAAAGTTGTTGGACTTAATGACAGTAAAAGTTGTTACAAGAATAGACTGAATAGATGTGGAGCCGACTGGAATGGACTAAAAAGTAGTTAGGTGCTGTTAGAAAAATTATCCAGAAGAAATACAGTGCCTCTTGAATGATAACAAAAGAAAAACTGATGCTACTGAAACAGTCATTAGGAAGAGGAGTTGTGCAGCAGGAACGTCACCAAAAAGAGGTCAAAATAGTAAATCTGAAAAGAAAGAAAACTTGGCAGAATTGACAGTGTGAGACTCTGGTAGGTGGAAATAACTGAAGTCTCAACCAAGATCATGGAGACTCTGTTACCAAGTAAAGAGAAACATACAATGAAATGGGATGTCATTATATAAGAGCTCCGTGTGTAAGGCAAGTTTCTTGAGGAATTCCAGATTGCTATGACATCATCATTAAGGATATTGTACACAATATTCTTAATCATTTCCCCAATGATCAAGAAAAACAATTTACAACTTCAATAATAATTAGAATCACAAAATACCCCCAGTTGCTTTGAGGGAAGCAATTAATTATGAAATAGATACTGCTGAACGTAGTGTGGAACCCGAATCTTTGAGTCAAATAAGGAAGGTAGAACGACATTTTCACCAGAGGGAACTTGAGAAAAATATGAGAAATTAAATGGATAGGACAAAGAGATTAATACCAAAGAAGGGTTATACTGATGAGTACTGGGAAGAGAGAGGAAAATAGTTTTTGAAGCTGATGATTGAAGAACAAAATTTAAGGTCCTCCAACACATACACTAAGGAAAGTAATGCAATTTGGTATACAATCAATCAACAAAAAGAACAAAAGGCTTCACTGTATTCACGAGTCTACAAGGTTGAGCTTAACAGAATCTAAACACCTGAGACTAAATTTAGGCCAGGTAGAATCAGCAAAACCAAGCTTCAGCTGAGTCATCACTGCCTCAACTACATAGCCCTAATATGTATATTCAGGACAAAACAACAAAAAACAAAAGAATCCTAACAATTTATTGTGAACAGAAAGCTTACCAAATTGAGATGCTTTTTTGGATTTTTTATCTTTTGGACCCAGCAGTGGAATATCCTCTGCTGGTCTACTAACCATACCAGTTGCCTTGATTCCAGCCTCACACATTGGCAACAGTACTTCTGCAAGAGGTTTGCTTGCTGGCATTTCAAAACGTGACTGATGCAAGCACAACCTGCCGTCTTCGTGATCATATTGAGCATCTCTAACCCGGGTGGTTTCTTCCACGTAGGTTGTTGCTCTTTTTTTACCCTTGCCAGTGTCACAGCAGAAAATAATCTTTTCACAACCATTCGTATCAAATATTTGAACAGTGAAGTGCTGACCCGGAGCATACTGGAAAACCAAGAGGTCTCCGACATCCAGACGATGCTGTGATGCAAATTTCGGCCACCCCTGTTGGATAGCTAACAAACCCTGATAGTAACACACTGTTACCCTCCATCGCAATCCACTTGAATCCTCTACATGCGTTACCTGATCAGCCAGGTGTGAAACTGATCGAGCAAACTTTGGCGGTAAAATCTGAAAAGAAATTGCAGAAATTAAAACTAAGAAATACCACATATCGATACCAAATGCTAAATAAAAGAAACAGGTTTATGACCATATCCTTGGAATTTTTTTTTGAGTACAATTATTTATAATACTAATTCCAAAGCAATCTTGATAGCAATGCATCCCTTTCATTTGATCAAACATAAAATACATGATATGGCAAAGGGAAGGTTAAAGTAACTGATGCATTTATGCAAGATATTTTCTATAGAAAGTAAAGCATGAAAATTGCCAGACTACAAATTAAGATTCACAAATATGCAAATGCCTCAATACCACTGTCAAGTATTTTCCTTTAAGAATCTTTAAAGTTCATTAAATGATTTATCATCTTCACACTAAAAATTTGACAGTTACTCAAGTAAGATCTGAATGATATTCCAGAAATAATGTTGACCTTAATAGATTTACATGATTTCAAGTAACTAAAAGAAGATACAGAATCATATAATGAGTGAATGAAAAGGTTTGACTAAATACTCTGCAAAGTGCAAGGACTGACTGAGAAGAAGAAAGTCAATGGAAACACCTACGGTAGGTCCGAATGCTAAAGTTGCTCATAAGCAGTTTTTTTCTTTCTAAAATTTATGAGCATATAGCATTTCATTTTTGTATTAAGCTCTTTGAAAACTGGAAAGTGAACTTTTAAATCCTTCAAGCAGAGTGATTTTAAAGTAATATGACACATATATTTTTCCTTGGGGGAGTTAAGGAGATACTTCATAGATATGGTAGAAGCAATAGCTCATGAGAAATATTGAAGAATCTTTTCCAAGATCTTTTTTTTAGAGCAGGCAATCTTTTGAAAGCAAGATGTTTCAGAACTCATAGGTGTTTGGCATGAGTTCTAAAACTTAAACAGGTCATTTGGTCTCTACTGCAAAAATTGACCAACATATATCATGATCATTATCAAGTGCATAGATACATACCTGAAAGGTAACTTATATTAGGAAATTCAAGTGATTGAAAATTTCTTGAATTTTATACACGAACGGGCAGATGGTTGAAAGGAAGATCAGACAGATAGAATTGCACTCAGTAGATAAAACACCCATCTCTGCCATAACTGAAAAAGTAATCAAGCTTACTTATGTATCCAATCAATATATGAATGATTGGATTAGCTCACTACTCCTAGGTTACATTTGCATTCTGCAAGGTTTCCCGATTGCCTCTATAATGGGCAGAAGTAGGGAGTGAATTGTAAAAGAGCAAAGCATTGGGTGCGAAGAGTGCAATAGGATGAATATATTGCAGTCCCAAAATGGAAAAATGCTAGGTGTCTGAATTATGTTACTAGTGGCATTTATTTAGCGTCCTCTTAAATAGTTGTGTTTATCTCTAAGGATTTGGAACCATGAGCCTCTTAAATGTGGGTATGCTGTCAACCATCAAAAAGATTACAGTGCAAGTAATCATAATTACAGAGAGCCTAAGAAGTCTACTAGCTGTTCTACCTCATCTATACCCCTCTCCTTTACACCAAAGATATAAAGTATTAATGCAATTTTCTTTTACTTTCTGCATTGAATTAGTAATATTCTCAAAACATCTATTATTTTTCTTTCCTTCCAGATTGACCACCATATGCAAGTCAGCAAGAAGGAACTATGCTCCACCATTTTTTTCTGTTTTTTACTCCCACCTCTCCTCATCCAGCAGGTTAGAAGATCTGCCGTATGCTCGGGCATCACACATGGTTTTTGGAGAATATTAAGAAACATATGCCACACCTGAGAAGTCACTCTACAATGAAGAAACAAATGACTATTTGTTTCCTCCTTTTCCTTGCAAAAGAAGCATCTTGAGACAATTTCAAAACCTCTCTTTTTTCAGTTTCTCCTGAGTCAGACACGCTCTTCTACATACCGTCCATGTGAAACACTTGATCTTGGTAGGAATATTAGATTTCCATATTTGTTTCCAAGGTCCAGGGATGTTCCCAGGTTGTGAGGATAAATTTCTTCTGTACAATCTTCCAACTGAAAATTTTCCATCCCTATCATGTTTCCATCTGATTGTATCAGGGCTGGTATTTAAACCAGAGAAATCATTCAATCTTTGCAGTAAGCTGGCCACTCTCTCAACCTCCCAGTCATTTAGAAGCCTCCTAAAGATGATATTCCATCCTTGGTTAGTCCAGGTCTCAGCAATAGATGCTTCAGGGTTGCCACAGAAAGAAAATAAATCTGGAAAATCCTCCATGAGTGAGTTCTGTCTGATCCATTTGTCTTTCCAGAATAGAATTCTAGTCCCTTCACCCACCTTGTAACCTATGCTCCTGGACAATTTAGGCCACAAATTTCTGATAGTCCTCCAAACTGAGACCCCATATGTGCTAGTCACAGTATTGGTTGTCCATTGCTCAGTCTGTCCATATTTGCTAATGATAACATCCTTCCAAAGAGCATGATCCTCTTTACCAAACCTCCACAACCATTTTGATAATAGAGATATATTTTGCAGCCCTAAATTCTTGACACCCAACCCACCAGATTTCTTACTGAGTTGCACAGCTTGCCATTTGACCAGATGAATACCCTTTCCTTCCTAGTTACCCAACCAGAGGAAAGTCCTCCTCAATATATCCAATCTCTCCTCCACTTTAGCAGGTAGGGGGAATAGAGACATAACATAAGTTGGCAGGGCACCACTATTTTAACATTGTCATGTCATTACTAGCTAAAAAGTTTGGCCTGCAAGTCCAACGGATCTATTAAGGAGGGAGGGGGTGCAACGGTAGCCACACACCTAGATCAGAACAGTGTGTAAATGTGTGTAGTGTATGTATAGAAGAAATCGTAGAAATAAACTAAAGTGACACCCAGTTTAATAAAAAGGCCCTAGGTTCTATAGGTGAAGGGAAATTAATTTCACCAAAAGGTTTGGATTCAAATCCAGCCTGCAACAACTTTTAAGATTTTTGTTTGCTTAGGACATTGTAACCATGGAATTTGTTCAACTAAAAAACGTAGCGTCTAGGTGTGAGGATTCAAACCCAGGTATAACCAAGCATAAGAGCAGGCGCCTAGACCAGTTCCCCCAGACAACATTGGGTATATTGATGTTGAGAAATTATAGGTCACATTATTATTACTTCAGCAATCCACCTTTAATTGGTAAGATCCTACACCTTGTGCATTCACGTCTTCTCTCTAGAAATTTCAGGAAAACACTTGTGATGTTAAGGATCCTTGAGTTTGTACATATTTTGCTTTGTCTCAAATCATTCCTAAGAAGGAAAGTTTTAAGTATCTTGGGGCTGTAATCCAGGGGAGTGGTGACATCGACGATGATGTCACACATCGCATTGGGGCTGCTTGGATGAAATGGAGGCTTGCCTCTGGAGTATTGTGTGATAAGAAAATTCCACCGAAACTTAAAGGTAAGTTTTACAGAGTGGTAGTTAGACCGGCCTTGTTGTATGGAGCGGAGTGTTGGCCAGTCAAGAAC